ATTTTCACTGCACCAACGGTTTATTTGTTTTACGCGTTGCATGTCATCGTCTCATTATATGTGTATTGTACATACAAGTACATATTTAAAATACCAGTAAGTGCACATGATGTATAATTAAGTGTTGTGATGTAAGTGAAAGTTATCTCCGTTCTCATAGTGCTCAATTGTGTAAGATATTTGTTTGTTACCGACGTTACGCATTATTAAATTTCATGATTATAATTTTTTTTCCAACAATCCTTTTTTTGTTGTTGCATATGTGGGCGGACAATCTCACGGCTCACCTGATGTTAAGTGGTTACCGGACACCAAAGACATCTACAATGTAAATGCCGCCAACTACTTTGAGATATGTGTTCAAAGGTCTCAGTACAGTACAACCAACGGCTGCCCCGTCCTTCAAAGCGAAACGCATTACTGCTTCTCGGCAGAAATAGGCAGGGCGGTGGTACCTACCCGTGCGGAAAATTATTGGAATTATAGGTCGGTGATTATACTTTTTGTCTTTTACATTAATTTCATTTAAATTATAATTAACATTAATTTCATTATTCATTTTATCAAATTATTGAGGAGCATTCCTTGGTCAAAAGCGATAACCTTGTTTTTAAGTTAATGAAGGAATTAATATAACTTATCTGCGTGGTGGCTATGAGATCACATTGCAGTACCTACATTATATTAATAAAGCAAAAATTTTAGTGTCAAGAAGATAAATATGTATTCACCAAGCCAAAGGTCATTATTATTTGAACACAGATTCTTGAATAACAAATGAAGATCACTCAAGTAAACAGTTACTTCATTTGCTAATCAGTATGTTTGCTAACTAAATGGCTAACTAAAAACTAAATACTGTCAAATTGTTTGATTCAAACTTCATAATAAGTTCGATGAAAATTTCACCAAACAAAATTGTTGATTTTATTCCTAACCAAAATATAAAAAAATGAGTCAAACATGCAATGTTTGTTAAACTTTTCAAACTATATTTTTATTTTTTATTTATTGCCTCCATGGGCGAGCGAGCTTACGGTCCGCCTGGTGTTAAGTGGTTACCGGAGCCCATAGACATCTACGATGTAAATATCGCCACCCATCTTGAGACACGAGTTCTAAGGTCTCACTTTTAACAGAACAACCGCTACTCCGCCCTTCAAACCGAAATACATTACTGTTTCACGGGAGAAATAGGCAGAGTGGTGGTAACCACCCGTGCGGACTCACAAGACGTCCTATCACCAGTAATTACGCAAATTATAATTTTGCACGTTTGATTTTTATTACACGATGTTATGCCTTCATCGTGGAAGTCAATCGTGAACATTTGTTAAGTACTATTTTAGTGGAAAAATTGGTACCTGCCTGCGGGATTCGAACACCGATGCATCGCTACATACGAATGCATCGTGAAACTAATATTATATTCGAACAAAATTACTAAAAAGTGAACGTGTTTCAATCAGTCGTTTTGGATCTTGTGAGACTTTACACAATGGTTGTGTGATGTTTTATCAATGAGTACTTAGTTCTATAATGCAGCGAATGCTCGTGACTTCCTTGAGCGAATGTTTTCTTGGCTCTCGGCTAGCCTCGCAACTTTCCAGCATTCGTCGATAGTGTGTTTAACCTGAGAGGGTAATGTTTACTAGACGGCGCTCGGTTTCATTCAATTACATTTTCGAGTAGATGGTTATCGCTTATATACTTGTTTTCAACTTTTGTGTTATGCAATGTGGACCTGACTTGTAGCATTTGCGAAGCAATGTTTGTTTGAGAGTCAGAGAGATTGGAACCGAAATATTAAATATTATTAGTTTGCTGAGTACACATATCATTTAGGTTGCAATCCAGATCAGATTTAGGTACTATTTGTACGATTCAGTTAAAATGTAATGTACTGTAATGAATGTGATTTGTTTTATGTAGCAATATAACAAAAAAATTGCTAATGGAAATTTGTTCAATATCTAGTTTTATCGCATTCAGTGATGCATATAATGATATGTCATTAAGTACTATCTTGGGATAATATTTGTGAAATCTTTTGTTGGCTTATTCATGAAATTGTTCGTATATTTGTTTGGCCATATACAATGAATATATGGATATAAAATGTCAAGGAAAATTGAAGGGCCGGCATAAGAAAATAGCAAAGTCCGTACTTATTATGAATAGGAAATTCAATTCTTCAGTTTGAGTGGTCTGCATGTGAGAGCATGCTAATTCATACTGTATAACGACTATTAAATCTGTTAAGCAGACAATTCGAATGAATTTCGATTTTACTGCAACAGGTTTACAATAAATATTTAGGTTATCGTAAGAATAGAAAACAGGTTTGTGGGTTACCGTCGAAACATTAGCATTATATTTTGAACGTGTTTGATTCACCAAAAAAAGCAAATACTACACGTGCTGAAATATATTAGTTCAAAAATTATTGGAGTTAACATTACGACATACTCATTCAGCGATTTTGACAAATTTTGATATGGAAACCTAGGTACAGACAGCAAAAATCAAAATGGAAGATTTTTAAAGAAGTACAGACAAAATCTAACTAAAATATGAAGAAGACGATCACTTGCTGTAGACGGTTAGAAAAGATTCCCATCAGAGGGTAGTCAAAATCTTTAATATGCTAACTCTAACTGTAAACTTATAAATACTCCTATTAGTTGCATAAAGGAGGCAATTCTTCGCAGTACTTATTTGTGAAACTGGCTAAAACTTCTGATCAAGATGTCTTAGCCTGTTTAGTTTTGAATTGGTTTTGTAGTAAAAACCTGCCAAAAACGAGCATATTAAGCTGCAAGAGCTGAAATACAAAAATAATTTTTTTATGCCATTCCCTCAAATTCGTTTTGCGTTTAACCTGTGAAACTTTGTGAAGTGTAGTAGTGCTTGTTACATAAAAACTCCTATATCCATGCCGGAATCTTACGTAAAACTAAGTTAACGATACTGCGGACTTCTCATTGTACAATCTACGTTGTATGGGAACATCCAAATCGTTCCTAACATCACACGGGTCATTCAAACTGCGTCTGCGTTAATTAAACCGTAATAGTTTCTACTCACACAATTGTAATATAAGTAATTACTTTACGTCTGTTGTGCGTACGACCATTAAGGAGGTGATGTGGTGGAGTTTGTCACCAGTTTTAGTTGCAAAGCTGCATTTGTGCATCAGTGAAATGCACTCACAGATTCTTCTATTTCAGCGGTCGGGGAACCGGGGTAAATTACCCCAAATATTGTAAAATGAAATTTGGGGGGGTAAAAATAAAACTTTTGTGAGTAAAAAGTATATATTGAAGTGAAACTTTTTTAGAATCTATTCTTTTATTTTCTTTTATTTATAATTTAAATTTTTAGTTATTGTTTTTATTTTTCAAAATTGTCATGGGGTCTATAATATGAAAGATGCTAAAAAGAAGCGATTTCGTTTTTTTTTGTTCTTCGCCATGGGGTAATATCAACTTACACAAAAATATTTTAGGGTAATAATTAGAAAAGTTCCCCGACCGCTGTTCCATTCTAATCTTTAATTTACGTTCCCTATTACTTATGTTGATTAGTGTATTAAATAAATTAATACTAAACAGTTTACGTATGAATTCCTATTTCTACGGTACCCATTCATCGTCACACGTATGGATGACTCATTTTCGTTTTATCAGCCTGAAGTCGAAATTGCCTTTACTGGCAATATATTTCAGCGGTATTTAACACGACGACAAACGAGTCAATGATGACGAATCAAAATATCTAAGAATAGCAGATAAAAACATCTCTAAAATAAAAGATAGCGTCAAAGATAAGAGACAAGGTAGCAGTAGGTTGTAAAGTTGTTAGTCGGGCGAGCAAAATATGTTTGATCGATGAAAACGGTGCATGTACGAAGCATCGCGTGACAGCATTGAACTAATCAAAGGCCGCGATGGTACGTCCTGGTCGAGAAATGGTAACAGCAGTAACGTTTCTATAAAATAGAATTGAATAATGCCTTCAGTTTCTACCCGCATCGAATAGATACTTATCGGAAGCTATTGAAAATGCAAGCGCTTTATGCTATCCATTTTTGAATGGAAATTTCATCTTTGTAACTTCGTATTTGATGTAATGATTTATTGGGACTAGATGATGACCGAGCTTTGCTCTGTTTTTTTTTTGATAACGCCATCTTGTTGTGTCTTTAAAGCGGTTAGTTGCCCTCAATTAAGAAAAATAGAACTATTATTCGCCAATAGATGTCGGGAAGAGTTGATTATTGAAAACACGAATAAACCAACATTTTCAGAAAATAAATCGTAGCTATATCGATTTATCGCCCCCGAAATCCACTAAATTTTATGAAAATCGACAAAATTTTTTGAAAATCGTTGGAACCGTTTCCTAGATTCAGATTATATTTAAATACAAGAATTGCTCGTTTAAAGGTATAAGATTGATTTTAAAAAAAACAATAAATACTTATGAAACGAGAATACGCATAATTCTATAGAGAAGACGGTAGTTTGATTATTTTGTTACTTTAAATAAATAGAATTGTATGCACTACAAATTTTAATTTCAGCTATTGTTCTCGTAAATTTAAACTATACCTATTTAACTGAATCATTTAATAAGCAATGACAAGGAAAAGTATTTATTTTACGAATGTTTAATATTAAACTGACGCACGGGTAATAAGGAATAACAAACTATGACGCCTAAAATGATTTCATTGTGCTAGTGTAACTACCTACGTTGAAATAGTAATTAATGTATAAATAAAAAATAAATGCGTTACATCTGCTTCTGAGTTATACGCATTGTCTCTTTTTTGTCGATATTCGAATCTTACTGAAAATATAAAACCTATTATTATTTATGTAGTTTATTAAGCACTAAAGTGGTTGTAAGTTATTTTCTAAGTGTGTTATAAAACTAAATGCGGTTTTAATCAATATTTTTTTAAGTTTTGGGATAAAGAACTGAATGGTTCTCACTTGGTCGGATAAATTGTCACACCACTGATGCGCGGCCGTTTTCTTCCCGCCGTTCAGGCCGTTGGATAGATGCGGAGTCAACGGACCGCCCGTGAACAGGTCCTCGGTGAGGCTAGCGTCCGAAGTTATTCGGTTCCTCACCTCTGGAGGCGGACCCTGAGGCCCGACAAAGTCGAACTGGCCATCCCACATATCATATTCCAGCTCTAAGCTATCTTCCACCTCGATTGGGTCACCCATTGTCCCTCTTGACCGATTGAACAAACCGGACTTGAACATTTAAAATTTCACTTTTCACTATACAGTAATTATCTTTGGATTTGTTCCAATATTGCACTATTCATAAATACTACTTATTGACTTATATGTAAATTGACTTCAGAACACAATTATAATTAATTTCTTGAGTATTAAGTTTAAGATTTCAATGGCACAATAATTAAAGTGATCGTTATTGATTCGAAAAAAGATTTTTCTAATTCGATCATCAAAGAGTCTACACATACAGTTCACATAATTCACTGAGCAGTATAATAACTTTGTGTCACATTTTCACTTCGAATTTAATTGTCACACTTAGAGTTATTCCTTAATCAAAACCAGAGGTCAAAAAAAGTTTTAGTTGTTGTCATACAGGAGAATCAAAATATTGAGCATCAGTCGACTTCTACGAAGCCGATTCAATGTTTTTGACGTCGGCTCTGACATTGTTCATACACAACGACTGATATCGACCGAAAGTCTCACTTGCAACGTTTATATATTTAATGGAAACGATAAAACCACAATCGAAAATAAAACTTTAAATGAACCGGCAAGAGTACGTGACGTTAGCACAGTATCGCGTGGAACACTGAAGGCGGGAAGGCGGCAAGGCGGACAGCTAACACGGCCCGCGCACCCCGCCCGTGACGCGACATGATTATTAGCTGGCCGAAGCCACAGCGCCACATGAATAAAGTTTATTCGCTCCCTACACGTATGCATGATTGTCTGATGTATAGTTACAAGGCAATAACCCCTTTCACGGGCTCCCCTAGTCTGTCTGCAGTTCGTAATTTAACGGGCGAGGGACCACGATCACAACAGACTCCCTCGGGTACCATTGTCGCTCTAGATGAAATACGCAATTACATACACCGAAATAAAAAAAGTACTTATCTACCAATGTTTAGTATCAAATAGTAACAGTTGAATGTTTTTGTACGGTTTATGCTAGAAATATTATATAGGCCATTTTGAAGGTCCATTTGAATTTGTTGCACCAGAACTTAGTAAGGTACAATCACTACTCGAGCGAGTTCAATAATACGTCCTCCCAACAGTAAAAAGCTTGACATAAGAAAGTGATAAAGAAAGTGAATTAACTAGGCGAACGTGCAATAGTTGTTCGGATATAAATGTAAATCCGTATAAACCTGTCTTGCAACTTGCATTCATAGGTTTTTAATTAGCTCAATGTCGATCGATGACTTGAATTTTTCCGTATGAATAAAATACGAAGAGTAAATAAAGCACTTCGCTTGTATTGCCTGTTAAAGATATAATTATAGAACATAACAGAAAACAAATGTAGCAAAACAAATCGTGTAATCGAAATCTGTAGAAGGTATTGTTTGAATCGTGTGAAATTCGCGGTCGGAAATTTGGATTGAGTGTTGTTATTACGAGCTTTATTGGCTTACAACACAGACTGTGAAGCAATATCTTAATATACGCACATTTAACGTAGAATAGACATGATTTATTTATGAGTATCGTAAGTTATTATGTGAAAGGCAATTGTTTATTTGAACGTTTCCTTTGATAACTAAACGGCGGATGTCTATGCCATATGGCTGGATCGGCTTTAGAAATTCCATTCACGTTTATCTCGACTAGCCCATTGTGGGATCGCTCAATTCGAAGACGGATAATTGTATTTTTTTTTTTTATTCAGCTCAAATAATACAAGGGATAGCAAAAATCTAAGAACAATTAAACTTAGCGTTCCACATATCGCACCTTTAGAATTAAAGTGGCTCAATTCAAAATTCTTGTTTTTTGATAAACGCCAAAAATGTAATTGAGTAATTGTATTTTTTCAGTTTTATATTTAATACTTTTAGTCTTAAAGCGCATATCTTAAGGAATGCGCTTGTTTTAAAAGAAACGGAAAATTATTTTTATAAACTGATAGAATACATCCTTTTAAGTGATTCAAAGTATAAAACTCAGTTTCTTAAAATTTTTAGTTAAGCCACTTCAATTCTGAAGGTGTGATATGTACTAACAAAAAAGTTTACATTACTATGCCATAGCTCTATTACATATACAACGAAACAATAGATGTTGGTGACAAGACTGGACAGAATAATGAAATGTTATACTTTTAACTGTATTTTTCTCGTGTCACTCTACCGACTCGGTAAGGTTATTTTACAAAGTTACGTTGCGATTTTTCTAGCATAGAATGCGTGTCCAAACACATAGGTGTTGTCACATTCTTTTAAATCAGCATATCGGTTTCTTGCGTATGAAAAGGATTTGTGTGACACAAATACGTATTGACAAAAAAAGTTGCACAAAAATTTCAAAAACTGAAAATAATGTATTCATTAAATTTTAGTTTCGTGTATGTTTCTTAAAATGAAATTTTTGTTCGCAATGACTAAATCCAGCTTCAGTCGGATTTAATTTTTGGAGTTTACTCCTTTAGAATCGATTTACATATATAGGCCCGGGGTATGAAAATTATGGGGACCAAAATCGTACTAGCATGTCACACGAAATGCGTTATGCGCCTGATTGCGCATGTCACACGAAATGCGTCATCGCAGGTGACGCCGGGCTGCTGCGCCGGCAGTCCGCCACAAAGCCTCGTACTGATCGCGCGTTTCTCTCATTATTGTATTTTCATATATTTGTTAGTCGTTTGTTTTGTGTCTCGTTAATTTGTTAATAATCTGTAGTGTATCGTGTTGTCGTAATATAGAACTATTTCTCGTATTGTTTCTTTTAATTTTTGGAGTTTACTCCTTTAGAATCGATTTACATATATAGGCCCGGGGTATGAAAATTATGGGGACCAAAATCGTACTAGCATGTCACACGAAATGCGTTATGCGCCTGATTGCGCATGTCACACGAAATGCGTCATCGCAGGTGACGCCGGGCTGCTGCGCCGGCAGTCCGCCACAAAGCCTCGTACTGATCGCGCGTTTCTCTCATTATTGTATTTTCATATATTTGTTAGTCGTTTGTTTTGTGTCTCGTTAATTTGTTAATAATCTGTAGTGTATCGTGTTGTCGTAATATAGAACTATTTCTCGTATTGTTTTTTCGTTTAATTTTTTATATCCAGTAAACTCCAGTCGTGCGTCGGAGCGGACACACACACTTTTTTTTTCCTGTGCTTACTTTTCAAGGTTTATTTCAATTACATCGATTGTTAAATAAATGCATTGCGTAACATGCATTTTGTAATTTCTTTTTTTTTACTATAATAATACTATCTTTTACCTACACGCGGCTACAATCGCGTTAAGGTAGACAACAATCACGGCTTAGAATATAGTTTTTTTGGAGTTTACTCCTTTAGAATCGATTTACATATATAGGCCCGGGGTATGAAAATTATGGGGACCAAAATCGTACTAGCATGTCACACGAAATGCGTTATGCGCCTGCGCCGGCAGTCCGCCACAAAGCCTCGTACTGATCGCGCGTTTCTCTCATTATTGTATTTTCATATATTTGTTAGTCGTTTGTTTTGTGTCTCGTTAATTTGTTAATAATCTGTAGTGTATCGTG